AAAGGTGAAAAAATGCTTTTCACTGGGTGCGCTGAATGGAGCAGATGGTAAGCGTGATTGCGTCTGTTATTTCATAAGCACTATTATTTTGCAAACGGCGCCAAATAAAGCCAAGTCTAAACTGTTTGTAATGTCTTCGAACACTAATACAATCTGGCCATTAAGGCCCTATGGTTATCATTTTTAAAACAAACAGGCTTTACGTGGCACTCGGAGACTGAACATCAAAATAGAGATGGCGTACAAAACCAAAATTAAAGTGCGTGCCGACATTAGACGTGTTGAGTACAGCATATAGAACGCATTATAAATACTGCTCTGCAGGTCGGGGTATGTATGGAGGGGCGGCTAGTCTATAGTCGGTGACAGGTTAAGAGTTCAGGGGAAACTCCTCCCGCCTTTTTACACCATAGCAGAGCGAACACTGGAGAGGAGAGCACCAGCTTTCGAGGATTTGCTCCGCTAAAGTGTCCCCTGAATCTTTAACCTGTCACTGACTGTAGTCGCCATGGGTAGAACATGCATTTCAGCGGAAGTCATCTGAGCCAAGATGGCGCTCGAGGAAGCCGCGACTTGCAGAACTCCTTGGCCTAAAATCGCGTCCACAGTTCCGCGTCAACTCGCAGAGAAACGCCAACGGTGTTTAAAAAAACACATAAAAACACAAAACACACACACACACATACACACACACACAGAAAAAACACAATTGAGAGCGTATGACGCAGCCTGTGACAGTCTTTGTCGGCGTCTGCAAAGTACTGCCGAAAGACCCCAGTATAGACGGCCCCGACGATGGGCCCCTTAAACTTGGAAACACGTGCACGACCTACAAAATGAAGAACTGTGCAACATCCGGATGCATTCCCTTTCTATTTCCCTCACGAAGCAATCCTGAAGAAACTTGTGAAAGTATGGCGCATGATACTCCCTTAGTTCCGCTAACACATCGCCTGATCGTAAATCAAGGCGACGTTACAATGAGCGCCTTTTTTGTGTCCGACGAACGAATCGGGTCTGCAGCTGAGTCCTGGTGATGTTGAAGGCACGCGTTACAGTCTAAGTGTTGTTTTTTTTCGTTACAGCAAGCATTCTGCAGTCCCGGCATACCGCACATGCAGAGAGTCCATGCGGCATTCGCTTTGATCGTACCTATTGTGCGTAACACGCATATCACCAGAATCTAAGTTAGCGGAGGAAGATATGAAGCTTCTAAACTGATAAGAAACAGTTACGTCAGTCTTTTGCAAATATTTGTCGCAGCAAAAAAGTTTATCACTTATGGTGCCTGCACTCATTGTTCGTAATTAGGACTTTTTTATTCGCTGTTGCCACTGAGCAAGTAATCATACGACTTTAATATGTAATTCGACTCTAGCTTGATCCTGAAACTATAGGTAGTCTGAGAGACCGGCTGGGGACTTTGCCAATGATTGACTATGCGCTTGCGCTCTGCAGAAAAACATGCCCGTGGTGTTTTGTCCGTAAATTACATTAACTTGCATTACTCTTGGGTATAGTAATGTCACAGGAGTACATTTTAACGCTAAAAAACATTATGACAGGGTATTTTTGAAATTTATTTCTGCGTGTTTGAGGCATAGCATAGACGCAGTAAGTCAAATAGGTTCACACTACCTGGAGCTACAAACGAAAAGAGTAAATACAAAACAAAATATGCCGAGTCTGTTTAGCGCTTTCTTCGGTTAACCGGAATTGTGGGTGTACTCAAGAGTGCAATAGAAAATATATCACATGCTTTAGAACATTCTTCGTTTTTTTTTTTTTTTACGTTTTTGGAGATAATATTTGGAGTAAATTATGAGGTAGCAAACTATATAATATTTAAATTTAAAGTAATACAAATCGTAAATTGGTGAATTACATCAAACAAGGCACACTTAATAAATACAATAAATAAGCTTTCAATTAAACTTTTCATGGTATCCTCTTGTTACTGCCAAATGAAATCAGATGTGTAAAATATGACTGTGTCATTAGCCAAAAAATATTCAGCCTTTTATTTGAGAAGCCAGAGATTATGTTTACCAGCTAGTTTAGTCAATAATTTTAAGTATGTGTTCCAAACTGAATTCGAGATTTGCTTGATAGACAGTTTCCCTGTAACGTTAGATAGATTTCTTGAAAAAACAACAACAGAAGAATGTGGCACACGTAAGATAGAACCACACGGTCCCAAACTCATTCAGTTGGATTAAAGTTAAAATCACATCGGAATCTCTGGTTTAAGCACGAAATACTTTATGTGCTTGCCATACCTTGCGCTGGATGCGCAGCTGGGATGATAGAAACAGTGAAGAAGATAATGATGATGATGAAGGTTAAAGATTATGGCGAAGATGGCAATGGTCATTCCAGCCTGTTAGTTTTTATGTACGTAGCGTTTTCTAAAATCTCCAGTGTGTATCGGTTTTTTTTTTCAAAACAAAATGTTTTCTTGTTACTTTGCAGCATCTTCATCATTTTAGCTGGTCACCCACAAACGTGATCTCATTCTAAAAAAAAAAATATATATATATATATATATAAACAAATTCGTTTCTTAGATAGCCTAACGTTGCATTAGAACTACAAAATATCTACCTCAAAAGCAAACCATAGTTCTAAAATAAACTAAGCAAATGAACTACTGGCCACCTAAACGATGCCAATGTTTCGGGACTGCACGTCATATAATTCAAAATTGTTTAATAAGAAAATGCTGCCCGTTTTGTGAGGAGACGCTCTTCGTGTTCTTATAAATTGTCAGGATTCACGGCCGCGATGTTGTTATTACTAACAAGAACACCTGAATTACTAAAACTTTTCGACTACATTGCAAATAATACCGACATACTTGATTCATAAACTACGATGAGAGGCCCAAACGTTATATATCACAATAAAAATAAAATTCCTTAACTCCTAGCCCAAATTGAACCAGTGAAGCCGGCACAGCTCAAAAACCAGGGAAACACTCTAGTTTCAAATGATCTGCCAAGGATTGAGAAAACAACGGATCACAAGAACACACGCACTGGCTAAACAATACAAATAGAGAAACAAAGAGTTTGTTGTTGAGATCTTTCAGGAAGTGCGTGATGAGCCACGTGCGTCTTGAAGCTATGCACGATCACGCGAGGTGGGCTCACGGGTTTGGGGGTGTTTTCCCATCGCTTATCCTAAATATAGCAGCCCGAGCGATGAGTGTGTACCGATACACACGGCCCGCGTCTGCGTTTTTGTTACCTTTTTCGAAACGAAAAATAAACCGCCCCCAAAGTTTACTGACCCCAGTGGGGCACTTTCCACTGGTCACGTGACAGAGTAACGGAACCCAAAAATTACTACAAAACAACGATGCCCGTACATAATTTTGAACAAGCACTGCCTTGTGGGCGCGTGTTTCCCTTTAGTGTCCTCAAACTCCAATTGTTAAAAAAAGTTAATTTTTGTTTTTACAGAAAGCAATGAAGGAATATAGCAAGAAAGTCGGTAGTAAAAAAACGATTAACGTTGCATGCACATGTTCTTTGCTTTAGTGCTGACAAAATTATTTCAACTTCTAACCAACAAAAATCTTCTGTTTCCGCAATCACAATGGAGAACGATTCAATCCAAGTCACTCTTTCACTATAGTCACTATCGGCACACGCGCAAACATAATATACGGAAAGGTCCCTCTCGTTACGTCGCAACGCGTTCTACTGATGGGATCTGCATCGGATATGTGCATATCAAGGGTTGGTTTTACCTTCGTGATATTTCGGTAAATGAAGCTCTGTCCACAATGTTTTAGCTAACGACTCCAATGTTGCTTAACCAAATTTCGGATGTTGTTTTAGTGAACGCAGGATTGGGGGTTGATTGGCTCCTAAAGTCCTCAGCCTAGGTCACCTCCAGATACATTAATGGGCTAATTTCATTTTCTAAGCTCGCGTTGCAGCGGAGGAAGCCATACTTTGACTCAAGCAAAACGAGCACAGCTCGTGCCAAGGTCACTTGGAGTTCAATTTGATACAGTGGGCTGCACCCTCATTGAACGAAAAGAACTATGACGACAATAGTTGCGTCAAGTCACGAGCGCGCATGCATCTTTCACAGGTACGCTATTCACGGCCTCTACACTCTGGAGCAAGGATGGATAAGAAAAACGCACGACACCGGAACACTTTCTCGAAGCCTTCCTCGGTTTCGACACCTTCCGCTTCGCGGATACCCCCTCGGCAACCAGCGTTCAAAATGGATTGTAACATAAAGTTTCGGGGGTTCAGGACGCGAGGATGATGACGCAAAACCCCTTTCCGCTTGCGTCGGTTAGTCACGTGACCTACTCAGTCGCACGCCCTCCTCCCCTTTCTCTCTCTCTTTCTCCTTCCCCTTTAGCAGGCCCGAAACAAAATTATTAAAGAAAGCCGTCGATTCGAAGGACACGGGTCCACGTCACGTGGATGTCGCCCGACAACGCCACCGTCTCTCGAAAGAAAGCGCTAATTCCGTAACGACCTCGTATGACACCGACGCAGTCTGTCTGCTCCGTGGAAACCCAGCTTCCCCGCCCCCCTTCCGCGCCGACATCCAAAGAAATAAGTACCTGGAAGCAGAAAAAAACGAGCTAAAAGAAACCACGAGCGCCAAGCTCACAAAGAAAGCGGCGGGTTCTCGCAAACCCTTTCGGCGTCTAACCCCGAGCCCACAGCCAAGGAGTCACACACTGCCGAGCAACTCGCCAACCTTGTTGCGCTAACTCCTCCTGGCGGTCCCGGGGAACAAAAATCAAAATTAAATATAAAAAAGACTAAGTAGAAGCGTCTACAAACCCCAGAAGCGTCTACAAAGCTGCAGCTAACAGTAAACTAAAAAAAAAAAACGAAAAAAAAAAAAAAACAGCGCAGGGTTCCTGGGCGTTTCGTCGTTGGCTCAGGTCCGAGGTCAGCTGATTCCCTGCGGAGGGAGGAAAGGGATGGTCCGCAGGGTTTATATTTAGGGCGCCAGGCCCCAGACGCTTCGAAAAACCCACAACCTGCTTTTCGAGCGGAGTTTGAAGAACGAGACCGAGGCCTGCTGAGCCCCCCTACACGGGACAACACACCGGTCAGCTCGACGTTTCCTTCTGTCTCCCGATCGCACGAAAAGCACTCACCGGGGAGTGTTGGGCGGTTCCCAGTTGGGGTTCGTGTTTATTGAACTCGTGTGGTCGTCGGTGAAGCACTCCAGGGCGTAGGATGCCTCCGTCTCAAGTGGACATCGCCGGAACCGCCGGCAAGGCCGTCATCAAGGTGGTCCATCGGTGCACGGATGCAACGGAGAACCAGAATCTCGGTCAGTTCACGTGTGCGTTCGTCGCGGTTCGCAAGCTCACAATTAATTGCAACTCTAACGGACCACACTTAATATCCACTTTCCTCAGCTGCACCCTTCCCGCTTTTTTCCTTCACGCCTTTTCCACTATGTGGCATTCACTCCTCTGGAGTTACGAACAGGCTCCCTCAAGGGCTGTGGACAGCCCCAGTGAGGAGAACCTGCATAAAAATGTTTTCTTTTTTTGTTTTTTGTTTTTGTTTTTGTTGCACGAGCTTTTAGCAAGAACCAATACATCTGCTCTAGCACTTTTTTCTTTGCTATAGTAACTGACAGGATGAAAACGGCAGAGAGGTGTTTCACTTGTACCGTCTCCCTGGATAACCGTTCGGCGTGTTTCAAACTTCGAGCGTGCACGCGGAGCCAAAGCGTGAGTGAAGGCAGCGAGCGATGCCTGGAGGCTGGGCATTCGGGAGAGACATCCTATCCGTTCTCGCTCTGTGACTGACTATGATATTTTACACACCTCCTGTAACGGACCATAGTCATTCGGAGAGCTGCTTTTCCCGGCCCACTTTACCTTGAGCTTGTACAGCGACTAGCTACTGCACACTCCACCTTCGTGTAGTGGTGGCGCTGCAATCGGTATCGCAGCCTAGATTACAGAGAGTCTCCAACCACTCAGTCCTGGTTCCGTGGTTAGGCGTTGATCGCCTGCAAACGTCTTTCCATCTGCTTTCTTCCTCGCAACGGAAACACGCAGCGCAAGCACACTGGCGACCAACTTCCGCAGGAGGCGTCCGTGATTAAATTGAAAATGCCCTTGATGGTTTGAGGATGGACCCACTCTTACTCCAGCCTTCTATGCGAGAAGACAAAGGGATCGGCTTTGCGCTGGTTCGTGGAGCTTTTTGACCGCGGTGCGCTCTTCACACGTTTTGAATTTTGAGTATGCTAAGGCAGTTGTAGTTTATAAGCTTAAAAACAATTTACTCACTCTAAGATACCAAAGTCGGCAAAGCGAGTCATCCTAGCACTCTATAAACTGGAAAACCGTGCCGCTTGCGCGTACTGCCACGAATTAAAAAGGGTTGTCACCACGTGTGCTCTGATTTAATATTGAATCTTTTACTACGATTTTACTAAACTGACTGGCGACGTACGTCTAAAAAGGTGCTTTATTCGAGCTTTACTAGTTCATTACTTGGTAAATATTGATATTTTTAATGTACAACAGCGCGCAAACTGGCCATTCTCTTGCTATCACTTCCTAACTTCCTTCTAAAAAAAAAAAAAAAAAAAAAAATGTACCGAAGGAGAACAAAGCAAAGGTGGGGGCGAATAAGTCATATATTATTTCTTGATCCAATATACACGTTTAAAAAAATTCAATCACCGCCAGTCATCGAACATTCTTTGGGTCAAATGATTTTGATTTTAGTATGAGCGCAACATTCATCGGGCGCACTAAGTTTCTATTGTTTTAGGACTAAAATTAACAGCAATAACCCCATGCAGTTATCAGATATGTACATTTTAGTTTCTTTTAAATATAGAATTGTTTGCATAAGCTTAACTTAATTACTAGGAATGTGTAAATACAAAAACATAAATTCGGTCACTTATAAAGTATCTTTTAATAAAGAAATCCTTATAAGTGATCGAATGAACGGAAATAATACAGGAAAAAAAGAGGACACAAGTAATTCTTTAAGCTCTGGTTAAGACTACGCGCAAGTGATTAACAAAAAAAAAAAAAGCCTAAGAGAGAATTTGCGAAAGTTGTTGCATTCCTGTTGTAAGACTTTCACTTGCTTCCACTTTACAAGGCCGTCAAAATTTCTAGAGAAGCAGCGACACCACGCGCTTTTGAACGCATTATTCCCGCTTTCACAAGCTGGCATCAAGTCACCTAACGTTTTTCGAAACTTCTCCAGACACCACGTGCTCGAACCGCTGCCGAAATGTTGACATTGGAGTGAAATTGGCCCCTCTCCAAATTTTCACTCCGCGCCTTTTTATCTCGAAAGGATAACCGGAAGGAAGAGGAACGAACTCAATAAAAACTCCAGCACTGAATACATCATCAAGACGATATTGAAACAAATGAATGAGAAATTAAAATAATTTGACGCAAGAACAATGGCTTCCAGCTAAAGCAAGGCGGGAACAAATGGTCCGTTGTTTGCATAGCGCAGACAACAAGACATATGTGTGTAAGTACCTCGTTGAACACAACAAGGGCATCGCGATACACCCTCCTGCTCCCTTTGTGTACCTCGTGTGTTTCTGATACATGAAATCTCTTTTCACAGATGCCAGCACACATGCTCTGTTCTAGATACGAACAGGTGCAAATACCTTTTATTGTCTCGTACTTGTTACGGGTGAACGTTTCTGAGTAAGATAGGCTCGATGTAAGCTAAAATTCTAATGCAGGGACTCACACGCACCCAAATCACCACAAATCGTTGGATCTCGCTCTGAAAATGAAACAAAAAAGAAGTGGAACTGAAAACAAAAAATTAATTGGTCTTGATTTTTCGGCTTGAAATAGCCATGACGGCATTCAATCATGAAGGTGTGCATCTTGGAGTAAGGAAGAAAAAGAGGAAGCTTTAAAGGAAGGATTTAGATAAAAACAAAACAAAAAAACATTAGCTTCATTAGCTCCTTTTTGAGGTAGCACCCTACAACCAGTTGGCTCCAGACTACTCTTTCACGATTAATTGATCTCCGAAAATTCCCTTCTCGATGAGGAGATATGAAAAGAAAGGACAAGGAGGTAAAGAGATTTAGCAGGTTAAAAAAAAAAGCCTTCAGTCCAGAATGTTAAGTCACGTTCACAGTGCTCACACAGCATTCAAACGATGTTCACTGCAGGCACGATGGCAGAATTATGTGCGGACTCTTTTCAAGCATGTTCGAAGTACGTTTGCTTCACATATGCTTCGAAGTATGTCTGAAGACAGTTTTTGTATGACCAATGTTACCGTCATTGGTCATGTGACCGTCAGTGTCTGCGGGCTGTCTTTTGTATGACCGCGACTTCACGGTTCGACACTCAAGATCTAAGTAGCAACATGAAACAAAAAGAAAAAGCTTTAACAAAAATTGAACGGTGTACAGAAAAAAAGAAATTAACGCAGAAGGCAGTGCCATAAATTATGCCAGTTTAAGGCCGCACGTTACAAATTCAACCCAAGCTTATCCGGGTTGTGAAATCCACAGAACCTATTTTTGACAAGAACTAACTGCATTCAACGTAGTCAGTAGTTTTTCACACTACCTGACAGACGTCTTCGATAAAAAAAGAAATAGAAGCTAAAAACAAGTTTCTGTGTGTGTGAGACTTTCCGCGACAAGCCGCAACCGGAAGGAGCTTCGGGTCTCCTGCCAGCTGGTCCCTGGAAGACAGTGGCGAGGCTTTAGTCGTTCGGCACACGGACCCTCGCGGGGAGAATAATTGCGCAGAAAGATTACTCCTCGCTCTGCGCCTTGGGCACGGGTTCAAGAGCACGGGACACGTTATATACGCGACGAGTCGTTGCGCAGTTTGCGCGTGCTATAGCCGCTCCTCTGCTGTGTTTGGCACCAACTTGCCACTTCCTCAGGCAAGCGTCTCTGCCGCTAGTCCCTCGCGGGCCTTCGTTTTGTTTTGTTGCGAGGCGTTTTCCGACCTCAGCAACAGACGTCAGGGCAAAATAAAGAAGAAAAAAAGACTGCTGGCGGACCTCGAGTGCGGGCACTTGGTTGCGAAAGTTTGCGCTTCCTGGGATGCGCTAAATTAGGGTCTTCGCCCCTGGCAGCGGCGGCACTGAAAGACGAGCGAGCGAACGGTGACCGTTTGCTGTTTTGGACGAGCACGACTGCCGGCCAGATGCGCACAAGGTTGATGCTCGTTGGCAGCTGGTAGGGAACGCACAGACGGATGGTGCCGCTCAGTGAGGCGCAGCCAGGGGTCTCCTCTTTCGACATGCTGACAAGTCGAGGTGTCAGCACCACGCGCTTCATTGTCCCTCTTTACTGGATTCAGGATGGCCCCGCTAATTTTTTTAGCCAAGAGGTTATTTCATTACTGTGCTGCACTAATCACTTTGGAGTCCAGGCGGAGCCATGGTTTTCTGAATTGCTTGCTTGAATAGAGAACGAAAGTGGTCGAATAGGAAAGCCGCGATCGTTGCTCAATTGCTCAGTTGCTCGAAAGTCAATGAAAACATTGACTGTTTCTATGACATTTTCAGTACTATAGGCAGCTTAAGAACACAGGCCGTGGCGCGGCTTGAACATATTCTTACCAGCGCGTCGCGCCAGTAAGAACGCCAAACTTTCTTCACCCACCAGTGCCCATAGCCCGAAAGAAAAAATGGAGAGATAGACACGAGCATAAAACAGTGCACTTAATATACTATTTCATAAATACAACTCACTCTATTATTTAAAAATAATCATCTTTATTTGTTGGTCTACAATACATGAATCAGTCATGAATGAGATCAAAAGAACATTTAGACGCCGAGTGGGTGGTGTGAATCCTTACTAAGAAATAGTGTTCATTCTTTGGGTAGATAGTTTATGTATATATTAAACTTTAAGTGATAAAAATATGACGGAGGAAAAATGAAGGCCCCAGTAGGCTGGTCTAAGCTCCCGCTCTTTGCTCGCAGATCTCTCCGACTGCCAGCTGATGTCTTTTCCCGACGCCATCTTCCACCTGATGAGGAACACCGTCGTCCTGGCTTGTGATCTCTCCAGCAACGTTCTACGCAAGATTCCACCCAAGCTTCCATTGAAGTTCACCCACATCACAGGTAAGACATATGGCGAAACCCTTCGTGCAGATCATTGACCTTGTAAGACGTAAAACCTTTGGTCGAATTAACAGCTCACGATCTTTGTTCTTCTATCGCACACCTTAACTCCACATAGTTCATAGTTTTTCATAAACGCTGACAGCTGTTTTTCAAATACGGAGAAAATCATATCCTCCACTATAGTTCAACACCTAAAGTTTGACTTCGATGCTTGACCACGTCCACAGGCATGATTTTTGATGGCAGCTTACTTACGAATGTAAAAAACAAGCAACATTCTTTAAGAAACAAGGAGGCGAACATCTTGGTAAATGTTACCGGTATACAGCCCTGTGGATTCATAAGAAATTATTTGGCCTCTTTAAATCTTCTATGGAGTGGTGGTGTTCGGTGTTTATACACTATACAAACTATGCGTTTTTTTTTTTTAAGTTGTACATGTTGCCCCTAGAAGCAGCAAATAACTTTAACTATAACATCTGCTGTGCAGAACTGAACCTGGCCCACAACCGGCTCAGCACGCTACCGGAGGAACTCAAGGACATCCCCGAGCTTCGCAAACTGGACATTTCTTACAACGACTACATGTCCATGCCGTGGGTCATCTTCCGGTTGCCGAAGCTCACCTACCTGGACGCTCGCAAAAACTACATCTCTGGTGAGACCGAATTTCACGCCCTCTGATTGGAACATTGGTCATGGTGACCTTGAATCTATATCAAAAACTTAATTTTAAAGTTGTAATGAGATTCCATACGACATGTGAACTTATTTCTTGCAAAACACTTAATCCATGCGGCTTCCAGAAGAGCTTTGTTTCATTTCGGAGTACCTGCGGTGCTTCTAAGTTTACGGGATTTTTCAACATCAAAGTAGAAAATGAACACAAGCGCTATCAAAAGGTGCCATAGACAAGCGAATACCCCATGCTTCTGACATAAGATCTGAGCATTATTTACACATGGCAACCCTCAAGCGAAGGGACAAAAAGAAGGGGACAAATAGAATGATTATTTACGTGTATGAGATTCCAGTCAGCATGCCATATATTTCTCCAAGTGGTTAGCTAAAGGACCGGTTAGTGAGATATTTGTTGGAGAATTTTTCATTACTGCTGTAAGACGACCGATCCCCTCTTATACTTTGAATCGCGCAACATCAAGATCTCTGTAAATCCCAAACTTTGTCATTTCCGTAGAAGTCAATCGTCCCAGGAATTTTGACATCAACAGGCTCGGAGGGCCTGCCGAAACAGAGCGATCGGATGTCACAAGAAACGGTTTTTGTTTGTAAACAGTACAATTATCTATAATTTGACGAGATAAAAACGGTAGGGTGTCTTTTTCAAATGCCCCGGCCTCCAGGACGCGCACTTTGTCTTTCTTTCTGCTCTGGTTACGCTTGTGCGCTAAATGCTTGCGAGAGACCAAGCGTCGCCAAAGGTAGGATCGAAGCTCGTGCTGGTGGTGGTACACCTAAAACACCTTTCTGCCGTTTTCATCTTCTCAGTGATTATAGTGAGGCTGATAACGCAGGGAAACTTCTACATGAAACGCTCGTCACTTGTTCGCAGACGTAGAGACGCCTCGGCTGCGAAACGTGAGCACGCTGCGGGAAGTGCATCTGGAAGAAAATCCGCTCTCGGAAGACGCTTGTCGCGCCCTCGAGAACCTTTCGTCGACCCAAATGGTCGTCCACGTCAGTCCACCCAACTCTTCTGATTCTGACGACGAGTCGTCTGACGAGGACAAGTGAACCCACGCACGCCTCTTCTCCTGGCCATTTCATGCTGTTTGTGCTCCAGAGTGGAGCTGCAGCTTGGGTTGGTTGTGGGACCGAATCACACGTGAACGCTTCGTGATTCTCCAGTTGTGAAAATGTTTGAGACCTGACATTTGATTGGCCGTGGGGACAGAGATGGAATGATCTTTTGCTCTATTGGTCTGCCACTGGCTGCAAGGTCGCGGCTCACCCAGCATTTCGCGCGACTGATCAATTGTGATCGTGTCTGGTCAAAGGAGAGTATGTCGGGGAGGTGTTCATGTTTGTATACATTTTTCTGAATGCGTGAAATGAATTTTAGAGCTTGCATTGTGACAAAAAGGCGGAAATCAGACAGCTCATAAATCGATACTTTGAGAACTTAATATGAGTACGAAAGAGTATACACTGAAGTACAAATGAGGAAAAACAAGCGTCCCTAACCTTCTAGTTTTGAAAACTCAAGAAACCACGAGGTATTTACCAAACTATGTTCTCAATGACTTACGAAAGTCACAGATAAAATAATTTAGTTTCATTTGGGGGTAATTTCAGTTTAAATTGCGGATTCTACTTTTTTGCACAAAAAGCATGTCCACATCCTACGTATACCTAGCGCAAACCGAAGGGGAAATACAACGGGCATTGTTATATCAACAACTCTCGCGATACTAGACAGAGCTGTCTTAAAAGAAGTTCTATCACAACTGTAAGCTAAAAACTTGAACGCCCGCGTTCACTGATATACATGCAAGCGATTGAGTGTGTATAGTAAAATGATGCGCAAAAAGATGCGCCACCTTGTACATATGTATTATACAAGCGAATTAAGTTATCGCTGTACATAGATATATTTATTTTGCATACAGCACCACATGAATTTGTGCGCGCTTGGAACTGTTGTTTCTTTGTTGTTGCTTATTTGAATATGTGCTCTCGTTTGCTGAATTTTACTTCTTTCCCATTGTTGTCTAGTAGCCTTCACAGCGCGGGCAATGCTCCAAAATTAAATCGACAAAGACGGTCCACCACAGGACGTCGTCTTTACTGCTCTACAGGTTCATGCATTTATCGGAAATTCCCTGAGAACACAATATGAAAAAAATCTGATTCATATCGTTCTGTTTGACAGCTGAGACCATCCTTAAAGTGTATTATAACTTTGGTCAACCATCCAAAAAACCTCCGTGAGTCGTCTTTCTTTTTTTTTTTTGGCGACGCATTTGCAGGAAGCAATGCTAGATTGACAGAGTTGAACCAGCATCGAGTTTATATCAAGTGCCAACCAACCTCCCCTAGTATAAGCAGCCACATTCTTAGCGCTATGCAGTTAACAGTCTGGAGGCATCACTGGTAGAAACAAGACTTTGAGGCTTGGTGTTGCTGCAGACAATACCTCCAATGCTCTAATACTTCAAGTTTGCCTAAGACAACTCCGTGTCTTGGGCAAGCTCTGGGGAAGGTGGGTATTTTATATTTATTATAATTGAGTAAATATTTTAGAAGACCTCCAGTGTAAGTTGTGATGCATATCTCGTCAGAGGGGAAGACGACTCATATTTGGACAAGCTGTCATTCTGGAAAAAAACATATCACAGTGAATAGCTTGAATCACCAAATCTTCGCTGCTAATTTTAAACGACAATGATGTCGATTTTGGTTATTTTTCGGTATCTACTATCGCGCGGCGATTAGTGGAGTTGAGTCAACGCTCGCATTTTTTGTATTCTTTTTTTACCTAGTCGGACCGAGCGCCACAGCTCGATAACAGCAGGTTGCAGAAGGCACAAGTGTTTGTACATGAGTCAGTTTTTTTTCCTTTGTATCCTGCGCGTATTCCAAACTTGTTCAATGGCGACTTGATCTCGTGCGTACGCGCACTTGGTGGTGGCCTCCTGAGCTTGACTCCAGCACTGAGCGATATCAGCTGGACAGTGTAAACCGCTTTTTGTGATCCCTGTTCATAAAACACGCTGACGCGTGAGTCGTTTGTTTGAGAGAAAAAAAAAAAAAAAAAAAGAGCAGCAAGCTCGGTAGTTTAATAAAATCAACGAAGTTGAGTAGCTTGTGTGTCATTGGTGTTTCTTCTGTGTGGATCTTTCTTTATACAATTTATTAATTTACAAGACCTTTTGTGATAACATCTACTATCATGACCCATTTAGGCGGGGGGGGGGGGGGTTGCAGCACACTTCGCCTGAGTACCAAGGCTTTGAAAGCGATGGGCTTCTGCGTGTTAAGGATAATTCATTAAGTTGCAACGCTCGCGTTCATAACGACCAAAATAACGGAAACGGCCAAAGCACCGGAACAATTAACCGTGACTCGGGATTGGTTTGCAAAAGTATCACGTTGTCTGCGGTCAACACGTGCCACAGTAACTCCATCGTTGACCTCGTTTCGGTTGCTGCGAACGCAACCGACACAAGTGCCAACCAACTCAAGCTCGTTGGTGCCAACCAGCCTTCATGCTGCACTGGCACATAGAACCGTTATTGCATCTTTTTCGGAGCCTTCCTCTTCGGGTTATATAATCAGCATCCCTAATTGCTTATGTAGTCTGACCAACAAGGATGCTATTGGAAGCGTGCAAAAAAAAAAAAAAAGTTTCTGCACGGTGCGACTCCTAGCAGAAGCATTTCGCATTGAACACGACCAGAATGGCATAAATATTCGGTGGAGCAGCCAACCTTAGTTTATAGTTAATGTCAGCTTGCCTGAGCACAGCGCTGTGTTAAACGTTCGGGGCCATAGTCCGCGCAAACATTTCTTACGCAAGACCCGGAAATTCAAAACACGGATCCCCTCCAGGCGCTGGCGGAAAGCGCCGCAAACATCTCAACCTCAGTTCGTCTCCTCGATCCGCCGATAATAAATGAACCGAAAAATACTTCTGATGTAGATTTTATCAATTTCTGGCACTGGTGAATGTCGTTTCATAGTAATTTTGAAACCGTCGAACACACAAACGCTTCGTAAAAACACATTCCAACGTAACAAAAAAAAAAAAAAAAAATGGCGGTACGTTGCAGGTGTTACTGTTCACAACTGCGGGACACACGACTAAACCCGAGCTCCGAGAGATTCGTGCGGGTCGAATGACTGAAAATACACTCAGGGCAACGCTGGACGTGGGTAGATTACGAAAGTCAAATCAAATCAAATCAAATCATTTCATTTTTCACCTTGCACAAAGAAGATGATGGAGCTGTGGAAAAAAGCTACAGCATTGCAGCTTGACGAGTCCACAGACCCTTAATATTGGCAGCTAAGCAGCATCGTGCTAAAGTATTCACAGAAGAGAGAGAGAGAGAAAAAAAAAGCGGGAAGAAAAGTAATCTTAACAATACATTGCAACAACACTCACAAAAAAAAAAAATCATTTTGATCATAAAGGTTTAGGGTGCACACAATTAAACAAAAAAAAATTGTCAAAATCATACTCTCTCGGTTTCATACATTCTACGGAGTTCACTGTATTTACAGGTAAATAAATCAAAATGCACAAGATGATATCTGTTTAATAAAGACGGCAGTATGAAACTTAGGCAATCTTTTCCATAGTTCGAACGAGGTGTACGCACTACCCAATTTTCTCTAAGTCTTATTGAGTAACTATAGTTATGGGTTCTTTATTTGAAGATGAGCCAGATCACGTAAGTTAGTAATATTGTTTTGTGTTTCTGATTTATACCTCAAACTTAATCGATATCTATACAAGTTGAATGCAGTAATCACATGGGAGCGGTAGAACAAGTTAGTACTTGGCGCTCCATGAGGCTCATTGTAAATATGCCGAAGACATTTTTTTTTGTAATATATGAACAAGTTGAAGGTTTGAAAATGTTGTTGTTCCCCATACCAATTGACAATAGTTTAGATGAGAGTAAAAGAGCGAAATATAAAGGAGTAACTTAATTTTTGTGGAAAGAAGGTATTTAATACGACCTATAATGCCTGTGATCTGAGCTATCTTAGGTACTATATGGTTACTAAGTCAAAGTGCCAAACCTTCACTACGAAGCTAGGTCGAAAAACACAACCGCGGGAAGGCACAGAAGCGGCGAACATGCAGCGGGCACATTAAAAGTAAAGCCCCTTCATGTTTCAAAAGTAGGGCAAGCTGCGTCGAAAAAGGAGGGACGTGCAGCGTGTAGCCTTTGGGAAGATCATGGCGGTACAGCGCAGCACTGAGCTAGATTTCAGACGCCACGCTCTTCCCAGAAGTGGCGCGCGGCACGTGTCTCGAGCCTTTTCACAACAATGAATGGCGCCACTTTTTCCAGGATAGGGGGCTTTAATTAAAGGAGGTACACGAGGGCAGCGCTTTACTTTGCGGCGTAACGTGGAAGCTGTCACTGGTGCGCGCTGCCAATCAGCTGCCAAATAAGAACGTTAAAAAAAAAAACAGCAAAAAACACTGGCTAGATGGCGCAAGTCGCCGCCCGATTAAAAGGGTTCAGACTTATCCATCCATCCAAAGCAGCAAAGGCGGAGCGGTGAGCTTCCTATAAACCGTCTTATCGTGGGTAGCGCCATTTTAAATACTGTAGCGCCATCTAGCAAGCGTCAGGTTCCGCGGCCATGCTGACTCAGCAGGGCCGCAGAACTTGACGGACCGAACCGAGGCGAAATTTTTATCGGTTCGGTTCGAGTTCGGGTTTATGGGTTTCGGTTCAGTTTCAGGAAGCAAATATAACGATTCAAACCGGTTCGAACCGGTTTGAATCGATAATTTGGTAATATATTTTCCGCCCTGTTTTGACAATAGGCACTATTTCAACCTTGAAACAAGTAAGTATATAGCTTTTTATCTTTCGCACAATCCACTTTTATTTTCAGATACCATAATAAGAAATTACGTTATTTAGTTTCGACGAAAACGTAAAATAAATGCTGATTGTTGGGCGAGTTGGTTAGGTACGTTAGAAAACATGATTGCGCTTTAAAGACAGGGACATAGGAAGAACAGACACCACAGAGCGCTCTGTGGTGTCTGTTCTTCCTATGTCCCTGTCTTCAAAGCGCAATCATGTTTTCTACTGTAAAATAAAGCTGGATTAACATACAAAATGTCGTGTTCGTACGACTCAATGCCTATTTGTTTACCTCAGTTGCAGTCACATATACAGGGTGTTTCTTTTTAAGCTTAACAAATTTGTTTAAAGAAAGCCGCGAAAGCTTTAGTATTTATGGCGTATATAAAAAATCGCGTGACTAGTTTTGTGCATTCACTGGCGCTAATGTGGAGGTGCCGACGGCTTCGGCATCTCCATAAGAGCTGTGTGTTTTGTGTGGCCCAATTCTGCCGCAGGGGCCTGGTGTGACGCTGCCAGTCACAGCGCTGCCAGGAGGCCGGTCGAGCGGCGTTTAGCGAGGACGCGAGGCTGGGGGAATTAGGGCATGTTGGTGCGACTATTTCTTCTTGTTTTGCGGTGTTTAGGAAGCGATACAATATTGTGTTGCTGCTAGCTGTGCGGAAGAGACAGGGTACTCACAACGATATCAAATACTGCTAAGAAAAACACAAAGCGGTGTTTTTTGTGCCGGGGTGAGACGTGGATTAGACGCGGCACTTGCAAAGAGAAACTTTTCTTGTTTGGAAGCCGAGCGACGCCTCTGTTCACGGAATGATTCGTCTGATTTCAAGAAAATATTCTACTGCGTCACGCATTCGCATTACTTTCTGAAAAAAAAAAATGATGCCGAGGAAAATAAAAAGAAGTCTAAGAAGAATGTGGGACCTGTGGGACAAGTGAGAGAAAACAAATTTCTCCAAGTGGGATTACTCTTCAATAAAGACAGCAGTTGAAGTTGCTCCCTTTATCTTCCCAGTCTTGGTGTTTATTTTAACATGACGCATGCTCCCTAGATGAAATAATTTCAGATAATTACTGGTCAATAAGCTTTGGTTAAGAATGCAGAAGTAAAAAAAAAGCTCGGTTTTTATCTATCTATGCTACACAAAAAATATGTATTGACACCAGAACAAAAACTAGGTATTTAAAGTCTGCCAAACGTACAACTGCCGAAGAAATAATTCAAAGAGCTTTAATGAACCTAAGTGGAAAGGAAAGCGTCGCATATCAAATCATACTCAAACTTAATATTCCGAATGGGATAGACAATTGTTCTTTTATAACAGCAAAACAAAAAAAAAAACAAAAAAAAAAAAAACAAAGAAAAATTTGAAGTAGCGAGATAATGTAAACAACAAACGGCACCCAAATGGCATTTGCACTTTGAATATAGCTTCTGCCGTTCGCGCAAGCCACGCTTTTTCACAGGGGTGTGAGATAGAATGGAACTTATCCGTTCTCAAAACCGAGCAGACAATACAAACGAAGAATACGACCGTTTTCACGCCTAATGAAGCAGCTCTGCTGCGTGAGCCAGGCCTCTGTCAGCCGTCGGATGGCTGACAGAGGCCTGGCTCTCGCAGCAGCGCCCTCACCGGCTTGCTTGCTCATCGCGACACACTCGTGGCCGCCGGACGGCACACCTCGCCATTAAGCCGGTTCACACATACAGCGGAGCGCTAAGTTAGCGCTACAAAGCGCTTCAGAAGCGCTTTGTTAGCGCTCTGCTAGCGCTACAGAAGCGCTAGGTTAGCGCTCTCACGCTCCTTGTGCCGTGCTTGCTGCTGCGGAATAGCGCGTGCACGGCGATTCTTTTTTTTTTTTTTGCATTGAAAGAAGAGGAAGTAAAAGAGCCGCTCAAAGCGACTACACTCTAAAAAAAAAAAAAAAAAAAAAAAAAAGGTATCATTTTACACCTTTTTGTGACATATAATACACCCCAAAAATTCATTTCGACCGTGCAGCGCCTATAGTCGAACAGACGGCACACAATTTTACCAGGGGCTTGGTAACGGTGCGATATAACTTATTAAATTGCTAAAGTACGTATCAAAGACCAAAGAAAGAAAACACGGAGCTTTTGCAGTAAGGCCAGGAAAACCCCGATAATTTTTTTTGTAGTCAATAATACGTACATCAGCTATCTTAATAAGTTGTACCACACGGCTATCAAGCCCCTCATAAAGTTTGGGGCCGCCTGTTCG